TGTGTGTGTGTGTGTGTGTGTGTTGTCATTACGATAGGGATTCTTCATTGTTGTTGGTTAGGCATTTGTAACCTGAGGTTAGCCTGATAGTTATGTGACAAGCTATTTCAGATCATTTTACGGATTGAAGCATTAACATGTAACTGCATGTAACAAGTAGTGTTAAGTAATGAACTGCATTACTTTTAGGAGAAGAAACGAGTAATCTGTAACACATGACTTTTTTTGTTACCTTCCCAAAAACTGGGATCTTCTATTTAAAGCATCACTTTTACAGGTGGTGGTCATGATGGATTGTGGGTAGTCTACGCACCAGATGTTGATAACCCATAGTGCAAGGAACTAAAAAGAAAAGACTGCATCTACACTAAGAGCTGTTGTGACAGTGCTGGCATAGAGTGCATAGAGTTTTTTCTTCCTTAGAGTAAAAACTAGCGACAATTTAAGGAAATTTTTACTATATTTTTTTTCTTGATTTTTTAAAATACTCGTTTCCATTCAGCATAAATGCATTTTTCCTCCACGTATAATCGAAAAACATATCAATCATAATGTGTCACAGGAAAAACCATCACAGTCTGTACGAGTGCACATCAACACTGTCATTCATGTCTCGCTGTTCTTGCAGTCGGTGAAGTTCTGGCGAACTCGGTGTGAGTGCAGCTCTCACGTATCGGCTTCACTAAAAACACACAAATAACACTCTGAGCCACACTAACATGGCCTTGCTTTGCGGTGCATCAAACACTTTGCTGTTATTATTCTTATTTGTTACGATTAAAGCTCTACATGATTACACACACACACACACACATATATATACTTTCCCATTTACAGTTTGGAGGGTTTTTATGTTTTTTTTCAAACCAGATAGCGCTAATCAGGCGTATTAATATTTAGAGGGAGAGAAGCATTTTGGTAATAGCCGTGACGGGACCACATTACGGTTCAGGGCTGCGGCACATCAAAGGGCCGTTTGAAAGAGCTGTTTATTTATTTGTTGTTTTGAACGGGAGACCACTTTTTTGTCTGACCTTGTTTCTGTGTGAACTCAGCACATTAACTCTGCTTTGTATTTGAGCTTACAGGTAAAAAAAAAACCTCATTCCACGCGACCTTGCACATTCTGAAGCGTAGATAACGGGGAGGATTTCACATAACAGTCCAGCATTTGAACATTTTGTTGTCTGTGCGGTTTATCAATGCTTTTACACATTTTAGAGCTCGCCTGCATGCACTACTACTGCAGTGACACTGGTGTATGTGTGTGGGCGGACTTTTTTTTTTTTTCAACTTGTGTTTTTCTCTCTCTTTCCCTCTTTTGTAACATGTATTTTTACCAAGAGGCATTTTTATATATATTTTTTAATTTTCCACTATGGTTTGATTGTGATTGTTTCTAAATGTTTTGTTTTTTTTAATTATAGATCTTTCCAGAGCAGAGAAGAAGCAGACTAATTCTTTAAAAGATGATTATGACTCTGGGATCTTGAATGAATAGAACGCTTTGTTCTGATAGGAAACAAAATGTGGTATTAACATCAGGCTTTGCCTCATTTCAATGTACAGCTTCAGACAACTAAATGTTTGTTATTCTTGCTAAGAAATGTAACATGTCTTTTATTCCCTCACCGTACAGAGTGCAAATTCCACTGCACCAATGGGAATTGCTTGCGTCTGGGCTCGCTGATCTGCAACCAGCTGAATAACTGTGGGGACAACAGCGATGAGGAGAACTGCCCTGTGGTCACCCAACACCCTCCGCCGGGCATCTTCAACTGTGAGTGTTGCAGGATGCTGTTACACATCTGTGTCTCTATCTGTCTACCTCAAACCATCAAACCACACCAACGCATCCTCTCTCTGCTTTGCCTCACTTATGATTTTGCCCCACCGGGGACAAGGGTTTGGGGTTTTGAGCTTTTCTCATGGGTGTTGCAAACTTTCTGACTTCTGCCCCCGGCACTTCACATTCAAAGTTTTTAAATGGTGCAATAGTTAACTTCACACTTACTTTTATCATTCATCAAAGTACTTTTGGCATGTTGTTGTTTTACATTGATCCATCACTTCAGTGTAATCCTAATGAAGCCGTATAACCTGAAAACCCATGTTTCCTTTGCTACATATTTGGAGTGGTATATTAGTTTCTTCTGTGGACTAAACTACCTGTCCGGTGCAATAGCATGTGTTCGGTCAATAGCAAACCGAGATGGGTTAAGACTCTGTGACAAATGACGAAATGACCGCTGAGCTCTATGTGTGCAATGCCCAAGCTGACACAAACTGACCTGAGACCTGCTTCCTAGTATACTTAGTCTAATTTCAGAGAAACGTGAGTTTACTCAAATGCAAAACTAATCATCTGGAAATTGTGTTGAGGGCTGAAAGCACATGAAATTAATGGCAGGGTAACTGTCACTGCTTGAGAACTTGATTTCAGTTGCATGTTGTATTGTTTTGTGACGTCATCCTTGCTTATCAGTATAAGGGAACAAAGTGTACAGGCATTATACCAAATCTATATACCGCACCCTCTCATCCCTACCGCCAGCACCAGCCACCTGCTTCTAGCTCCTGCTGAGCACCACTGTCCAGGGAACAAGATGAGAGTGTTCCCTTGACTCGTCACAATCAATGAAAACACAGAAGGGGAGTGAGAGAGAGAGAGAGATGTTGAGAGGGGGAGATGGAAAGAGAGGTGCAGAGAGAGGGAGAGAGAGACAGACAGAGAGAGAGAGAGAGGGTGAAGGACACCACTGGGCTTCAATGGCTGTCTGCCAGGCCACTTTGATGTGCTGCGGCGTTCTCTTTCAACAACTTTTAGGAGGAGAGGGAAAACTTTTTACAGCAGCACTTTCATCCTTGGCTCCATGAGAGAGAGAGAGAG